CAAAAACAAAAAAAAAAAAAAAAAAGGAGCCACAACAAATACATATTTTTCATTTTTTTTAGATTTCCCCCCATAATCTATCCAAGTCAAAACAATATCCTTCTTTATGACCCCAAAACATTATAAAAACAGAGAAGGGCCTAAAATGCCTCATAACTATTTGAAAATGGTACAAAATTACCATCCATCCCCCTTTCAGTCTCCAAATACCCCTGACGTCAACCTTTTGGCTAAAAAATACTCTTATTTCTAAATGCCCACCCTCATAAGGTGGATGGAGGGTAAATTTATACCAAATCTCATAGTTTAAGGGCATTTTAGCCCCTTTACCGTAAAAATAATTTTGAATTACTTAATATATGAGCTCGTATGCTTGGCCTAATTTTGGGTTCCATTGTAATTTTCTTTAAAAAAAATTTCTCTACTATCTATATACCCCCCCCCCCCCCCCCCCCCCCAAATCACTTCCTCTCCCCACTTTTTTTCTTCTTGGATCTTGTCCACCATTTTAAATTTTAATTAATCAACTATGTTCGTATACTGTAATTTTCTTTTGCGTGTATCCAGATTCAAAATAAAAGAACGAAAATAACCTTTTTTGCTATCCCAAACAACATGAAAATAATACAAATTAAAAGAATATGTACATGTAAGTTCATTTCAAGTTTGAATCCTTGATATCTTAATTAAAAATAAGAGATTATGAAAAAGAATAAAAAGAGGGAAATGAACAAGACAATTGGATAATTGATAGAAAAATTATATATTAATAAACAATGTTAATCTTTTTTTAGATTGACAATCAAACAGGGCGAGTATCGCTTTTAGTTAGATCTCTAGTTATGAATTGGGTTATAATAAATTGGGGGTTGATTTAAAATAGATTAATAGGAAGATATCATGAAATTAATATTTTTTTGAATATTATTTTCAAGCTTATTGGGTCAAAATATGAATCATATGTAGTTTTCATTATTTATTTGAGAAGGGATTAGATTTAGACCAATCAGATTAGGCAACAAAATAAATAAATATTTAATAATTTTATTTTAGAGGGGTTGTTAAAAATAAGGGCAAATATGAGCCAAAGGTTTACATGGAGGATATTTTTGATCCAAAAGGTTAACGTCAGGGGTAATTGAAGGCCGAAAGATGGATTGGGGGTAATTTTGTACCAATTCAAATAGTTGAGGGGTCTATTTAGACCCTTCTCCGTTTTAAAAAAAAAGGTACAACTAATATTGAAAAGGGAAAATTGTGCAGAATAACAAAAATTTAAATGATATTAAATGCTATGTTTTGGAAAATTGTGATTCGCAACCATAGTTTCCTTAAATCTGGCTATTTGTTTAATTTGTATAATTCACGTAAATTATATAATTCGCCTGATTGTCTAAATCAGAATTTTGTGTAATTCAGTTTCTGATTTTATGAATCCAGAATTCGTATATGCTTACCCTAGTTATTTGTATATGATTTGTGAAAATTCACAATAAAATACCTTATTTATATATTGGCATGCGAAATATATAAACGGAGATCTGAAAAAATCCTAAATGTATAAACACAACATTTGTATATACTTGCCCCATTTCTTGCGAAATATACAAATGGGCAAGCAAAATATAGAAACGCACCAAATGTACAAATTGTAGCCTGCATAGCGAACGAAACTATCGCTATGGAGCACAATTATCGAAACTATAGTGTTATACAACCTTATTATGTTTATTATTTTTGCTATTTCTGAAATTTTCAGTACTAAAAACTACAAGATTTTCTTAGAACTTTTTTTGGGGGTCCTGAAGAGGTATATTATTTTGGTTTGGATAAATTATGTAAAAAAAAATCTAGTAGAGGTGGGGTTTATAATTCATCCAACAAAAAAATGACACATAATAAATATTTATAAAAAAGCAAAATAAAGAGAGAGTTGTTAGTTTCAAAGGTACAAGTGAGTCAAGTCGGTGAATGGAAGGGTATTTTTATACCAAAAAGATGAGTAGAAGGGTATTTTTAGATCAAAAGGTGGATGAAGGGTATTTTTAAATCTTTTCCTATAGTTCAGTGATATTTTTGGCCCTTTTCCGTTTCAAAAATGAGGAATGGAGGTACGTGTGTGCATAACAAATTTTGATAAATAGCTAGACTAATATTGCATTGAACTTATCTTTTATTTTTAATTTAAAAATTTTATCTTTAATTTTTATAATGTACAAATTAATTTAGTGATAATGGATCGTGATTTCTGAGTTTTTAAAATAAATTAACTTAACCACTTTCAATTAAATTCAGAATATTTATTTAATTAAATTTTCTTATGTTTATCTCAAATTTTAAAATTTAAATACAGAATTCCAAAAAATTACATGATTCATGCGTGAATAGAGATAACTATCATATTATTAGGAGGAAAACTACTTTCCTGAACTTATGTTAAGTTTGATGGAATAGGTGTCTTGATAGGATAGTTAGACTATAATAAGAGATCACTTAGAACTCTTTTACCATGATAATTACTATCTCTAATATGTAAATTTATATTTTTAATTCAAATTTAACAATTAAAAATTATCCTAAAAATTGCCAATGGGCTTTTCAATAGCTTATCACTTTGCTTAACCACATTGCAAACTACTCTCCTTTATTTTTTTTTTATATATATATATATATATATATATATATATAGAAGATATGAGAGTCAAATCATAAAAATCTGAGTGAAGTATCAAAAACACATGTAAACCTTCTTCTTTTTTAAGTTTCATACCTAAACTATCACTCATTAGTTTGAGAAACACACCTCAGTGGTAGGGATGTTCACGGTTTGGATAAAAACCGATTCAAATCGAAAAACCGGACCAAACCGATAAAATAAAACCGATTTTATTTGGGTTTGGTTTGGTTTGGTTTGGTTTTAGATTTTTGAAAACCGATAGTATTTGGTTTGGTTATGGTTTTATTCGAAAATATAAAAAAATAACCGAACCGAACCGATGAATTATATACATATATTTAATAAATAAACATACTTAATATATTGTTTTTATAAACAATTTTAAAGATCTCATACATATTTTCATGAAAATTTCTTTATAATTTACTTATTGAAAGCAAAAATGCCCAAGATGAAATATTTATCTTATTGATTTCATGTATATGAGTGTCTATGACAATTCTTTGTGGGACTGAAAATGTTATTGTCTCTTCCTTCTAGGCCAATATAGTAAATTTTAAAGCTTTATTGATAGTAAATTTAGTGATCGAAAGTTCAATAATATAAGTCATTCTAACTATTTTTCGTTTTGAATTGATTGTTGTCACTTTTTTAACATTTTGAATGAATTGTTTCTTTTATTTTTGTGTATGGTTAATAACCGAATAATCGAACCGAACCAAACCAAATCGAAATCGATAACCACCAAACTGATAAGTGTATATTATATTTGGTTTGGTTTGGTTTTGATAATTTTAAAACCGATTAAGTTTGTTTGGTTTTGGTTTTGACGAATAATCGATCCAAACCGACCCGTGAACACCCCTACTCAGTGGTGTGTGTAACACACTTTTATTTTAAAAAAACCTTGTCACATGACATTCCACATGTATAAAACATTTCACCTTGACAAATTAAATAAACTATTAGTATTAGTTAAAAGTTATATTACAAAAAATAAAAGAGACAGTTTAGGTGTGTTTTTGACACTCTCTAAAAATTCTGATATAGGTTAAGGCCTCATTTGTTTCCATTAAGATCGAAACCTCTGAATCTGAATAAACATCTGAATATTAAGATGTGGTCTCTAATATGATTGTTAAAACTATTTGTTTTCAATATTTGAATGTGCATATGAATTATATATCAATTTAAAAATTATTGTAGCATGATTCTTTTTAAGAATTCAACATATACACATCTTTTAATAAAAAAATTTATCCAACAACAAAATTTTTACAAGATATCTCAAGTATATACATATTTCAACAACAATAATATATTTAGTATAATTTCACAAGCAGGTTTGATGATCAAAGAGTTAAATAAAATTAGTAGCCTAAAACAAAATTCAACAATAATAATATGTTTAGTGGTGGGTTTGATCATACAAACACGTTTGATGTTCAAAAATCTCAATAAAATTAGTGGCCTAAATCAAAACTTTTAATAAGAGACCTCAAGTATATACATAATTATTGTTTTTAATCATGATGAGTATTTTTTCACTCAAAAATCTTTAGTTCTTGATAAACATCGTACACCCAGAAAAAATTTACTGCAACAATAATTCTTGACAAACATCAATACACCCCCAAAAAAAATTGTTAATATAAAAAAAATATCAAACATAATACTTGTAAAAAGATTACAAAAATTTACTAGTTCAAGAGGAAAAAAATGGTTTTTGATTGAGAAAAGAGAGGAAGAAAGTCGATAGCAAGAGAGAGGAAAAGCTGCCCGCAAAGAGAGAGACAACATGATTATTTTGTTGCTTATTAAATAAATCTGAATATTGTTAAGACTCTCCTATAAATCTGATTCATTCAGATCCATTAAGAAGCTTTTTAAAAAAAGGGAAACAAATAGACTTAATGATATTCATCTGAACGATTAGAATTCAAACCTAAAAAACAAACACACTTAATGGACTGGTTCAGATCTCCATTAAGCAAACAAATGAGGCCTAAGATGGAATCAACAAAAGAAAAAGTAAATATAAGGTGGAACCAAAAAAAAGAAACATTATACAGTAAAAAGAACAAGTTGGAAAAACAGAGGAACAGTACAAGGAGGAGACCTTTATTAGTACAGGATAATTTACTGTTAGGCTTAAATTCCCATAGTTAACCATGGTGGAATCAACCTGAGCAAAACTTAGTAAGGTTTAAGCTTTGCTTGACTAAGGATATATTCTCGAAGGAAAGACTGATGTTTTCCTTGGATGCTCTTTAGTCACTATTTTATCTAATCCCTGACTTTCTTTGATGAATCTTCAATGCAGGCCCTGGATACATTCAATACAGCAGTTGTCTCTCCTATATACTATGTCATGTTTACCTCTTTGACTATCTTAGCCAGTATAATCATGTTCAAGGTGATTCTTTGATCTTAGACATTTTAATGTTCAGTTTTGCTTTGTGAATAGTAAATACGTGATGTGCTGCAACTGAACTCGGTGACACATCAAGTTTGCCAAAGCCTTCTCCTGGTTGTTTCATTATATAATTGGTCTCTGTTCTGGCCAGTTTAGGGGGGGGGGGGTGCCCAAATATGATTTTCTTCTTTCAGTCCATTTGAACACAATAAACAGGGACATGCATGAAGTTCGGCATATTCAACTAGCAGGCCATTTAACAACATATTGAGGTCTTGAGTGGTGAATCCTTGAAGGCAATTTTTTTTATTTTTTTTATTTTTTGAAATTAATCCTTGAAGGCAATTTGTTACATGTCTTTAGGACAGTGTGAAGCTTTTTGAGCATCCATATTTATTATTTTTCATGGTAGCTTCAAGGTATCTTATTCTACTCATTGTGTTTGAGTGAACAGGACTGGGATAGGCAAAACCCAACTCAAATAGTAACAGAAATGTGTGGATTTGTGACTATTCTTTCTGGAACTTTTCTTCTTCACAAAACCAAAGACATGGTTGATGGTATGTTCTGTTGTTTTTCTTTTGTTTGAGTGAACAGGACTGGTCTAGCCAATTTCTCAAAGCGTCTTTTAATGGAATCTAATACAGGTCCTGCCATGCTGCCTGTGCGACTTCCCAAGCATGGCGATGATGAGAATGGTTTTGGGCAAGAGGGTATCCCCTTGAGGCGGCAAGATTCGTTGAGATTACCATAATGTATGATTCTTTTATTTTCCTTTCCTATTCCCCACCAACCTGTCCAACTATTTAACTGCCCAATTCAGCTGCACCAGTCCATTCTCATAGTATTTACTTCTCAGAGAGACCACACTCAGATTGTATACAATTGGGGGACTCTTTTGTCATATTCAGCGAGAGAAATGAAGGCGCTTTCTCGCCCATCTTGTATTGATAGAATCATCAGAAACTTGTTCATGTGATTGCAAAGCCTGTTGTCTAGTTACAGAAGCTCAGTTCCTAATGTATTTCTGAGCAGATTGGTTTCAGGCGCACTATCTTGACATACCTGTAAAAATAACTAGTATATTTGATTGTTTAACAATAACTAAATCAGTTGGATTTTTGTACGCTCCATCAACCATTGATATGATAGCTTTGTCTTACTTCGTGTAACAGGTATCAATTGGGCTAGTTGTTTGACATTTGTATTAGTAGTTCACTTTTGTATGGAGCAGGAAAAACTAGTATTATGCGTCTCATACACGTAGAATAAGCAAGCATTACTTGTTGGGAAAATTTAATAACAATACAACCAGCTAACTTACATTGCAAAATTATGGTCCTAAAGTTGCACTGCGATTCTTTAGTCCAAACAGAATATGGCCATCACCAATAACTAACCTTAGTTCTGTTATTTAAGAATCTGTGATTTCTTTACCTGCTATATCGCTTATTTTCAGTGATCTGTGTTCTTTTATATTGCCAATTCATAACTTTATTCTTCTTTCGAAACTTCATATACATACATATTCATGCAATATCAGATCCAATCAGCTTCGAGAACTTCAATTGCGGTGAAAAAAATTAGCAATTATTTTCATTTTTTTTCCTGCAGTTCTAGGTATCAGTTTATTTTTTTCTTGCTGCAATTCATCTTCTCAATGGAGAATTATTATGTATATCTTCTTCATAGTGGTCAATCAGATAATGACAACAATTTTGTCAAATTTGTTGTTGATTGTGTTGTTATTGAGTTTACATGCAATTTTGAAAATTTGGTTTAAAACAAATCGGAATTGATAGTCAGTTGAATGCATTATGAATTAAGTTACTTCTAAAGGATGTTTTGACGCACATCTTAATCCATAATGATATTGGTGTTCAGGTTTATATTCAATTGAAGAAGAAAAAAAAACAATTTTTACTGATTATGTGCTTTATGTAACTGTGAAGGAGATCAATAATTTTGTAGTTCCTACAAGCTTGAGCTATAAAATAAAGGTTAAACTATAGGAGAGGAAGTTAGAGAAGAGATTGATACATTAAATGAGTGATTTTGAAGATGATTGTAAACTTGTCGAAATCAAGGACTTTAGTTTAATAGATGACATGATGCAATATGGATTGCCGGAAGGTTGTTCATTCAAAACCAAGCTTGGGACCTTCAAAGAATGCATGGATAATTCATGAAGCTAGAGGTCCTTGAGCTTGTTTAAATGACAGAAGGGATTCCATGTCTTAAATATCGCTTGAATGGATGAAGGGAAGGCGATGGAAGAAGCTGTCAAGTTTGTCGTCACCATTGTAACTTTTGGCGACATGCCAAACTACTTACCCAATTTAACTATTGATGGTTGAGGGCTAGGCGGAGGCCTATCCCTTTTGATCCGCCAAAGTGTTTGGCAAAACTACATTTCGTGAGTCAGGGCATTGTGTAGTAATTAGCCTAAAACTATAAATAGCTAGTTTAGTTCTCAGTTGAGTTTAAATTGCTTTGATATTGAATATTGATATTGTGAACCTCTTGAGAGAGTGTTTGTGAGCTTGGTACAAGCTTTTGGTTGAAACTGGTTTAGAAACATTAGTCGTGAGGTGAATCGATTTCTCTTGAGGTTATTGTAAGAGTTAGGTGTATCTTGTAGGATTGTCGGATTGATGTCTTAAGGTTAAATATACCTTTTGGTTGCTTTCTATTTCCTCCTTTTGTGTCTATCTATTTATGATTACTTGTCTTTAATTTTTGCATTTGTGTTCTTGTTGGTGGTTTGAATTAAATCATTTGGTATGAGAGTCATGCTTAGATTTGTCCCAATGAGTCTAGTCTTGGATTTGTTACTATAAAAACAAATAGAGTCCAAAATGTTTCGAGAAAATATCAAATATATTTTTGTTGATTTGAGTCTTATTTGAAGTTTTTATTACTAGATTTGTTTTCTATAGTATTTTTTGAGCGGATTATGAGATTTGGCACCATTGTTGATTGAAGAAGCTTGAAGGGAATAGAAATGGGTCTTGAATATCAAGGATTTCTAAATGAATTGAAGTATAAAAAGTATTGGAAATTTTTTCCTTTATCAAAGTGAACTTAGATCTCAAATTTTGTGATATTCAGAGCCAAAAATGACAAGGGTCTGATTTTTGGATATTCATCTTGTTCATAGAGTTCTTGGATGATATTCAAATTTTCAAAAGGTTTTTAATCCAAACGAAGAAGAAAGATAAGGTGAATTAGTTTTAGTACACAAGGAAAAATATCAAAGAAGGGAATAAGGGAATGAGTATAAGTGGGACCACAAAGGCACAATATTTGAGGTCTTCAGGTGCACAAACTATCAAGTTTGGCGAGCACTTTGGCATATCGCCAAAGTGACACAACATCTCCAAACTTAAGTTGATAATCTGTTAAATTTGGCGAAGGGAGATAACATCACCAAAGTCACCTCTGACCTCATTGAAGTTTGTCGATCCAAGGCATTCCAAGATATTGTGAGTTCGTATATCTTTGACCTATCTCAAGTTATAATTTCTTAGTGTTTTTCTTGATTCTAGTTCATTCTCGTAATTCCTAAAACCAATCTTCAACTAGTAATTGATTGATTTGTTGATTAGTAGTTCTTGAATCCTCACCTACTTTATGTCAAATCTACTAGATCAAACCTCAAAACTAGTATCATCACCCTTATGTTGCTATCATTTTTATCACACCACTTATCTTAAATTCAATCTTAGTGTCTATAGTACTAAACACAGATAACAATATAATTTATCACATACTATACTAACTTCTGACTACTAGCTAGAATTAAGAAACACTCACCTACCAAAACCACATGACATGTAGGTCAATCTTTATCTCCCAGTCAGCCTATTTACAAATTACCATCACATTCCCTTTCACAACTTAAGTACCATTTACCCATTCACTATGCATCATTGCCTAATCAGCTCTATAAACCTCTAAATATAATGGGGTTCTCCATAAAAAATAATAAGCCTAGCTTAGATCTATCACCTCATAAATACTATATTCTTCTATTCAACACCTATACTTGGTCTTCACTAACACAATGACACGTCAACATAAACTCAATTTTAGTTCAAGTATACTCTAACTCATCCTAACCTGTAACTATTTATCTACCTTCTATCATGAAATTCACACAACATTTTTACTCCTCAGCCTATATATAAGAGAAAACTCCTCATTAATGACTTTCTGGGTGCATGACTGCAACCACATACTTTACTCAATAATTATCCCCATCCCTTATGTTACTACACTTATAAATGTATACTTCTAACTCTGGTCACTTCTACTACTACTGGCTTATAATAATGCAAATCACACTATCATTCAAGCAACAATACTGCCAAAGTTCTAAAACACACTTTCCTCTTAAGGGTCTCACCTGAAACAAGGTTTAGAGAAGAGAATTTGATAACACATCTTACTTTTAGCTTGTACTTAGGATTCATATGATGAAGGGATCATTCTATAATAGGCTCCTCTCAAGCCCTATGCAATCTCTTTACTTTTTGACGACTTTTTCTAAGAGTAACTCATCGATAATGATTTGCATTTTGATATTTCAACAATCTTGAGTATGAGGGGTAGTTGAATAAATTTTAGAAATGCATGACTCTGAACAAGTTTCTTATGGCACCGTTCTATTGCACGATCTAGAGTACGAAAGAAAGGGAAAATTTTCTTAAATGTTTGTTGTCCCCTATTTATAGAAGTGGGACTCTCACAACCATAAATAAGATTCCAATGACACGACTTCATAGACGCCCTAGGACACTTGAACCTTGTGCTATGATACCAAGTTTGTCATGGCCCGAGCCTACATCCTAGATGTGGCCAGCACTCAAGAACCATTATTGGTCCCCAAGCGAACCCTCATCCTGGTTGACTATAAGCAGAAGACTAACTCAAGCATACACAAACATTAAACTGAAAGAAACATTTAACAACAGTTTACTGAATCTCAAAACTCTATGAATATAATGAATATAACACATAAGTTTTGAATAAGATATGTGAAACTGAAAGACCCTCCAAAACTGTCTATCTACGATGCCTCTAATATATAAAAATAAAGGCCGGGACAAGAGCCACAACACCTCAAAATGCTCCTACTAACAACTCATAAAAACTAGAGTCTTCTAGAAGAAAGGACGCTCACTAAAAAACTCACGCGCGAATGAATTGATCTCAACAGAACTCCTGTTGAGGATCCTGAATACCTAAATCTGCATCATAAAAAGATGCAGATCAAATGAATCAATACATAGAATGTACGAGTATGTAATATAGATGAATAAAAAATAACTGAACTGAAAAGAATGATCGTAACTCAACTAAAATATAGTATAAATCATGATGCTAAAATCATTTAAGATCTTACTTAACTTTACTTTATTGGGAGTTTCTCTAACTGACAACCATCACTATGAGCCTCGTGATGATACAACGTCTTACCCACATTGCTAGAGACGTCCTATACCTTGCCAGGGTTTGATACACAACTTTAACTCATGAATCCATCTAATAGGCCTTCATCCCACACTAACTACGTGGTTTATAGGGTTATAAGTTATCTGAACTCTCACCCAAATCAGTGCTCGGTACTACTCCCAAAATATATAATTTTATGCTCATGTAAAATACTTACTAGTTTGAGATAATTATTCAAAAGGATCTCTTTAAGAGGTAACTAAATCTGTCTGAAAACTTTTTATTCTTTTCTAAAAATAGTACTCTCTTTTTCAATGTGAAAATAATACATTTGGGATCATTTAATGTCACGCCCCGAGGCTACCCCTTGACGTAAACACGGGACTTAGAATCACGATTGACCCCAAGCTAACCCTGCTGGCATATCATAAGCATAATTAAAGATTTTATGAAATGAGAAATACTGTGCAAAAGCTTAAATCATTATATAAACCGAAATGGGGAATACCCAATACTATCTGAATATATAGATTGTGAGTTTAATGACAACTGAAAGATCAAACACCAAGATAAAACTGAATCTAACTATGTCTGAATAAAAGCCTCAAACTGACTAGAGATGCTGGGACATGCCCCCAACTAACTCTAGCAAAACTGATACTTAA